GTATGCACATTGTACAAGACATCCCGGATAAGCTCGGACCCGGTTAATGAAATTGTGGTTCGCTGGCGTCATATGTTCGAAACATACATTCTGACCGGCCTACTGACTCCCACGAACTGTAGATCCACCCATTGCCCCAGCTGGTCGAAGTGAGCTAATCGTTTAGTCATGAACGCTAACAAACAGTTCGGACTCTGTTGGTACAGCTAAAGTGGCATTGAAACCCAACTGAACAGTCTTTTCATTTATTTAAGCCACTGGACCATTCGTTACGTTGGACATTAAAGATCTCCGTGGTGTTATCACTTGAATAATGATCAACAAATCACGATTAAAATAAATATTAAAACAATCATGAGTGGAGACCTCCAGTTTTGTGGCCCTCGCTCTATCTTCATTTCAGGCGGGTAATCGGGTCCGGGTGCATACTGCCCAACTATGAGTATGTCAAAACTGTTCTTATGTAGGTACTCGGAATACGCGCTGCACCTACAGTGTCAAGGGAAACACCAGGTCACTCTGTATAGTACATGTAATCACAATACCTGCGTGCAAAACCGCCGCTCGTGGACGGGAGCACACTGTGTGGTATAAGTCTGTCACTACACATGCTGCAGGGCGCTCCAGCACGGGCAGCGCCGGCTACAACGCCCGGGCGACTTTCCCGGCCCGGCTAACGGTAAACCACTGCCTTGTCCTCCATCGCCGCTCGATTCGGCCGAACCGCGCCGAGCGCGACATGTCTTGCCGTCCGGCTTCCCCCGCTATCTGCCGGTGGCATCGCATTCTGACGGCACCTCGCGGCCATCATAGGCGGGCCGCTGTCACTGGCGCGCGCTGGGTGCCGCACGCTCCCCGTGTACCGCGCCGTGCTGGCGTGTGTACCGCTCGCTATCGCCGACATCACGCATGGTAACTAGCATATATCTCGCCAGCAAGTGATTCGTCACCGCCGACGCTGAGCGCGGCTCGGCTGATCATTCGGCGGCAGCTGCGGCGCGGACATGGCGCTCCGCGAGCCGCGGAGGTCCAGCCGATCGGCGCCGCTGTCCCGACGACCCCCGATGGGGCGATAGGTACACCGGTGGAAGGCGCTGTGGCGTACTGTCGAGCACCGCTCGGCACGGGTGGTCTGCCAGACGACATCAGTGACATCCTGTCACCGGCGGACTGACAGAGCAGCCGCTGTAGGACCGAGAGCGGAGTCGGCGACATGGACTCCGTTCCTGGAGATGACGAGCGCGGCGGGCTGGACGTGACACGTCACTGACCAGGTGGTGGTGATGTGAGGATGCTGGCGTCACCGTGCCGGCGCAGGTGGTCTCTGAAGGTGCCGCGTCTTCGGAAAAAGCGCAGCCTGCCCGTGTTTTGGTCCGCGTGGGTAGTTAGTAGTTACATCCATCGAATACAGTACAAATGGCCTGTTTCAAACAGATCAGCTCAACGTTTTCCTTTTAATTTCTAAGTCACGAATCATGGTCTGGAGCCTGGAGGTGCAGTAGGTATTTTATGCCAGGATTTGTGAACTGATTATGCAGCAATGAGTGAAGAAAGTGCCGACCTCAATAGGCAATAATTGGTCAATTATTGTCACGAGAAATGCTTTATTAGGACACCTCATGGGACCATCTTTGAACCATTTCTGGTCGCTTGCGATCATCATTCTTACCCTCGGCGAGCTTGCCTGTGACAGCTGAGCCCACTGTGCTGCTGAGGACTTCCGTTGTCATCTCGTGTGTCAGTGTCACCTCCAGAGTGACACACGGTCACCGGAAGCTCCCCATGTTACGCCGTGCATCAGTGTCACCTCCGCAATGACAGTTGACACACGACCGCCGGAAGCTGCCTGCATACGGATACCCGCCGGACCGGAGGACCGTCTTCCGACGTGAATGAATGGTCCGAGAGACACCCGTCCGACCCGGCCCCCACCTGCACAGGCGTCTGACGGGTGTCGGGCCGTCCCGAGACGACCGTCCTTCCGGAACCCGCAGCTCCGCGCGACACGGCGGGGCTCAAACGAGCTTACCCGTGTCGTGCATGAAAATCGGCATTCCACGGATGACACCCGACTTTTCATGTGCCGGATCGCCGGCCGGATCGTGTTGTTTCCATGTATGAAGTGAGATGCAAATGCTAAACAAATATGTAACAGCCGGTAGACAAATAAGTCGGCGAAGTAGAAAGAGGAACGTGAGCCGGCCAACACGATCCGAACCTGCTGGAAGTCCTGCTGAACCATTGATTCGGTTGCTGAACTTGATGATTTCGTTGTCATCTTCCCCAAGCAGGTATAGCGACTGAAGTGATTGCCACCTGGCATCCGGTGCATTGTCATTCTGTCACCCTCTCGTCCGACTGTCTTTCCTTGGAGAGTCTTCAACGTCAAGACCTGCGACTTCAGTCGCACCTCAGTACAGGAGTGACGCGACAGCGGGGGCGGGGCGGCCGGGGACCGAGCTCCGGCTAACCCTGGCCACGGCCGGCGCTCCATCCGTCTCTGTTTGCCGACCGCGGGCACCACGTGACGGCGGCGGCCAATGATTTATACCGTCCGTCCGCCCATCTAAACTGCCATCTCCCGTACGGTGCATATGTGACCGGCGCTCCCAGCCGCGCCGCCGCCGCCGCCGCCGCAGCCGCCGTTCGGCAGAAAACTCGACCCGGTCCGGTCCTGTGTCCCCATCGGTGCAGGCTCACGTCTGGCTCATGCAGATGCGCCGGCTGACCGGCAGGTAGCGCGGCACAGAGCAGCCCGTCTAGTTCGCGACTCTGCCGCCAGGGTGCGGGAGGGCTCCTAATTCACACACTCGCCGCTAGACGGCCGGGCACGTCAGACAGACAGACAGACTGGGAGCTGCTCCGATGATGGTGTCTGCTACCTCGAGAACTGCAGGGCGGTGGAACTATGGCCAGCCCCTCTGGGCATCTCTCGATACGTCTGTGGCAGGTCGGACCCGGAGAGGTCTGCGAGAGTCCCCGGCGAGATCCACTCTCCCACGGAGTCCAGTGTCGCCGGGACCTGCACCGGTCACCGGTGACGGCGCGGAGCGACCCGTGGGCGGGGTGTCGGACACGCGGCAAATGGGCCCATCCATCGCCGGCCAGCGTGCGCCGATCGTATCTGCGTTAATAAAGTCCCACGGCCGGGCCGGCTTCATTCAGAGCGGGGCCGCCGACCGATAGCTGGGACACAGCCGAGACTAATTTGATCGCCGCGCGATGGATTTGTACGGCCGTTTCTGACACATTCAGTGTTCTCTGTGAAATATATTCCGACCTGAGCGGCTACTGTTTGGCATGCACACTAATTAGATAGCCTTTGCACGATACTTGAGAACTGGAAACATGAGAACCGAGCATCGGATGCAACGAGTGAGTGAGAGCCAGTGAATACATTAAAAAGCACCGTGCAACACTCAGTACACTCACTACAAGAGTCCAGGAATACTTCTAGAGCCCTCTCAGAATCCCCTCAAACCCTCGATTATGGGCCATCTTTACTCGATTCTCGCGCTGGCTGAGTGGCAGACAGACTGATGACCACGTCTGACCTCTGTGACCGAGGACGAACAGCGGCCATTCCACCGCCTGTCTCGGCATTCATATCTGGTAAAATACGACAGCAGCAGCTCCCGGTGGCGGCAGGCTCAGAACGTCCGTCCCTCAGCGCTGTACCACGCGACCCGGCTGCAGAGCCACACTCGCTGGCCGCTGTTCATGCAGGAATTAGTCGCCCTTTGTGTGGCTATCGTGTATTGTATTTTCTTTTCCTAGTCTCATGCATATTATCGTGACAGGTAACGTGTCAATGGTGGTTGTATTTGCACTATCGTGAACACATTCATACTGGCAGTCCTCATTTCAATTTGACTACAACAAAAATACGAGCTCTTGGGTCGTAAACTATGATCAGTACCCTCCAAGCACGGATCAAAGTGTACTTATTCTCCATCTCTATATCTAATAGAGCCCCTTGGTCCCATGTCACAACTCATTGGAACTGAATGATTCTGCTCTGGGCGCACCTAATGTTCCTGGTCTGCGGCCACTCAGATTAGGACACCGGTTACGTCTGCCGACACCTATCACGCCCTCTCCATCATATTTCGGTCCCATCTTGACATCCCTCCCCCTCCCAATCCCCGCCCGCCCCACGAGCCTCCCACACAACACACATGTCGCGGGCGTCCCATCACGGATGGCACATTACTCTGTGTCTGGCGCCCTGGGTTCGGAGGCCGGTGGTCTGGAGATGATCCGACCGCACCTGGCTCACCTGCTCTGTGACCCTCGCGAGGACGAGACCGGACGACATTTGTCAATTCAATCAGTGTAGCGGGCTGGTGGGACAGTGGGCTCCTCCGCAACGAGCAGACTCGCTCCCATGTAGAGCCGGGGCTGGCTGAGAGAGACTCATGGTCGGTCTGTTGTAATTTCATGGACTAATATTTTGAATATGATAATCGGAGCGGCTTTTCAATGACAGAAGCAGCGGTTTCGAAATGATAAATTACGCATTACGTATGGTGCTGAGCGCAACAAATTAAGCAAAATACCATCCTTACAGACAAGTTTTGGGTTAGTCATGTCGTCTTCTTTAATTATAAAATTATTAAAGCGCACAAGGCATGATGTATTATTTCCATTTTCCATATTTGAAGGTACAATGGTATGTTTAGCTGCTACACATATGTATTATCCAAACTAAGCACATGCAAAGTAAAGCATGCCCAAAACTACATATAACCCAGCTCGAGCGAATGGTCAGCTGTCCTCAACCGAATCCGGATATAGCTCAAGAAGAGGTCAGTATATGATCATATACTTACAGTATTCGCTGCTGTATTCCGAATACCAATGGCAGTCAAAGAATAAAACGGGAGTCTGAAATTGAACTGACGTAATACTGTCCCGTCAGGCATAACGAGCACACACCCAGCCAGAATTTAATTGAGGTGCTCTCGACTGACTGTGGATTTCTGTCCTTTCTGTTTCAGGGTTCCGGAGGAGGCAGCTGTGACTGTCTGGGCTGTGGGCGGCAGACAGCTGGCTCACCACCGTCGAGCGCAGAGATACGCCAGCTGCAGTGACCCCACAGGTGACCTGTGACCTGTACCGGAGGGTCATCAGTCAGTCATCAGCAGGGCGCCGCCTCTCCGATTGGGGGCGACGGGGAATTCTGGCCAGCCGCGAGAACAGAGGACACAGTCCAAGGTGCTAGGGAGATTCGGGAGCAATCCTGGAACAGGAGAGGCCTCATGGAGGAGCCTCAGAGTCTAGGATTGCGGTATCCTAAGTGAGAGATCTTTCAATGCAGTCCCCTTAGCTGGTGACTGCACACTCGCTACAGCGCAGTCATATTTCAGATGAGATAGCCGTGCCAAACACCTTTGTAAACAGCCTCTGGTTGCTGACCTTTTCTGGGCAAGGCGATCAGAATAAATGAAAACCTTGGCCGATTCTTACCGCGCTCAAAGGCACCTGTTTTGATCAATCGCTCCATTCCCAAACCTATTCCGCTGCATTCCACGCCATATCAAAATGTTGTGCTGAGCTGTGAACTGGTATGCCAGCTCTGGTTATGTGATAATATGTGATTGCGTCAAATGAATGTATGTATATAGTAATACTGAATGTTTCTATTTTGAGAGTGCGTCCGAAATAAATCCAAGTGACGTTATGGAACTCTCTTGACGGCATGTTTTGGGATGGAACATGTGTGCTTCAACAGAAATTTAGCGGCAGGCACGGACGAGGTTTGACATGCCATCGGAGGTTCATATTTTTCAATTCACTGTCCATGACATAATAATCGAAATTAAATAAATTGGGGCATTACCATCAAAGTTAAGAAAATGCTAGCTACATTATCCAGAACACTGATAGACGACTTTAACTTCGTTATGATTGTTGGTCTACGCACTCATATCATCGGACACTATGAGCTATTCGAGAACACCATTTTTTTATCTAACGATTCATTGGAAAATTCTACTACGTGGCGAAACTAATATACAATTGTAAAACCTTACCAATAATAAGGAAGATCAGTGCATTGCGGTAATGACTGACTTGTCTCTAGAGGAATGCAGGCTGTAGTCTTCAAACGTCTTACATTTTGTTCTGTTTCATGTCGTATTACAAACAGTACAGCATGAAGTTTGCATGTCAGCTATTCGTTTCGACTGGATCATGCTTAACATTCGTGTGGATAAAACAGCTCTCCGGACATGTGAAAACGAAACTTTTCAGAACTTTTAACCATTACAGCGGGTGGTCAATCAAACATAAATATTGTCACGGCAGATAACGCAAAACTATTCAAACTCCATACCGGATACATGCCCGCCGCTGTGTCATCTTCGACTGAGGACCCGCGGTCTTACACACCCGGAGCTGAGCCGTCACAGACGCCATGTCTGCCGCGGGGGCCGTCTGACGCGGCTGTGACATTTGTGGCGTGTGCGCAACACCTCGCCGCGGCGCGGTGCCATGTCCACATTATTGATGGCTCATCAGTGACGGTGGCGGAGACGGCGGCGGCGGTGGTGGCGGCGGCGGCGCTTGGGGACGGTCCTCCGACACACGGGGCCGACAGGATCAAAGGGCGGCCTGCCGAGCTTGCAGGAGGTGCAGGATGTGTACATATGAGGATGCAGGATGTTGATGATGCTTCGCGAGGCGCGATCCTCTATGTCCGCATGGGCCTAACCGTTTACGATAGACACGTGATTTTGCACACATAACCCACAGCCCGGTCGGGGAGCCTTCAGTGCGATAAGCTGTTTGTGTTGGCACTGACTTTCAGATCCTTTGCATTGGCATCGTTCGAAGCTTCGGAGAAAAAATCAGATACGAGTAATGTTCTTGTCATTGGTTAATGGACCCATTCGTCAAATATCTAAACATATTCCGCTTTAACTGCTGTATCCAGTCACCACTATTTTCGCCGAAGCATGCACTTATATGGAAGATGCAGCTATGTAGATGCCAGATGCTTGATGCAGCCAATAGCGCCCATGTTTATGCACTGTAACTTCTGGCTACATTTCAAATAAATGCACGCTCGGGACCATACCTGCTATATAGAAACCGTGAGAGCACACCGTCCAGCTCACTTCACCCATTCCGAGCACGCGTGACGCACTGACGAGACTAATTCAATCGTCGCGGTGTGCGCGTGTTCTCCAGTGTGCGAGCACCCTGCTATCGCAACGCATCCCCCAGTACAGCGGCGAACAGCGCAGTGGTCCGCCGCAAACACTGCATAAATGTATGAGTCGTGCCTGGCCCTGCGTGCGTGGTGTGTTTCAATGGCCACCGGAGCGGATTGTTTCAGTCATCGGCGGATCCAAGTCGGGGAGACATTTTTGGCATTTTCCCCCTTACGCAGAGCCAAACATTGAAGAAATTATGAGGCTTTCCTAGCATAAGAGGAAAGCTTGCATGCGAAAACATTCATGTGAAGCAGTTTGTTTTGAATTGTACAGCAGCTCGTAAGGAAGTGCATTCCGAGGAGTTTTCGAAAATCGGAGAACCTATTTGCAGTGTTATGCTCCCGTGCTCCCTTGCCCCGGCCCGCAGCACTCCATACTGCACCTTTGTGGATCCACAAATGGTCTCAGCGGGCTCACTGGAAAAGGGGCCTTTTGAGAATTTTTTTTGGACGCATCGACTAACATCGACGATTTTTTTCGCCAACATTTACCGTCCCACTCAGCATTGCTCTCCATCTTTCTCCCCAGCATCAACAATTTCCTATTCTCCCTCACCACCACCCTATCTCTAGACTGCATTCCTGCAGATTCGACTTCTCTGGGAGCAGTCTGACCGCCGACCGGTTCACCGTCGGAGAAATAAAACAGAAACGATTTCTCTGCTATCGGCACCGATCACGGGCCCGGCTCTACTGCCGCCGCTGGTTGCATGAATAATGTAACTGGGATGGTGAACGAGACCGACAATATAGTGAGCCGAACGGCGGCCAGACGCCCTATAGGACGATACTTTCTGGGTGGGGCAGGTGGGGCAGGCTTCGGAGGCTGCGGGTGGGGAAGGTTACGTGCCTAGTCTGTAACGGACCCCGCCATAGGTACAACAGCCTCCGAGGTTGGTGACAAGAATTTCTTGACGGTTAGGTCCTGAAACAATCTCCCCCTTTACATATTGTCCCAGTAAATTATCCCAGGACTGCTCTCGATGAAACACCTTATAAAACGCAGCTTTGCCGGTCGATCCATTTGCGGCTATTCGTGTCAGTCTCTATCACCAAACGCTGATGGGTCGGCCGGCGTCCTGCAGAAGTGAGGGGTCTGTTTCAGGTCTAGACACAAAGGGACGCAAGGAGGGCGCTGGCCGCTGCCATAAACCATCTAACCGGCTTCCCAGTGCCGACGATCGCTGTCGGAGGCTCCCGGTAGGTACAAACGGACGTCCGGCAGGGCCGCCGAAGGCTGATTTGAACCCTTCCTCCTCCTCCTCCTCCTCCTCCTCCTCCTCTCTCTCTCTCTCTCTCTCTCTCTCTCTCTCTCGCTCTCGCTCTTTCTCCCTTCAGCTGTTGAATCTCCTCTCTCTACCCTCCACTCAGCAGGCGACCCTTGGTGTATTTTTGGCAACGACAAGAGGAATGTTGACGATGCGACAGCCATGCGGCGTTGTGCTTACAATGTCGGTATCTGATCGGCAGATCAGTTTTCGGCATTTCTGGTCGTCTCTGTCATACGGATAATGATTGCTGAACATGGTCGTGAATGTTTAACCTGATCATGGACGTTCCCGGCTCATTTTAATGATAAATCGTTTTGAAAGGGCTGGCCAGACGCTATACATTCTTTTTCTTATCGGTATTTACGTTCCGTGAAATCTTTGGCCGACGTCCATGGCTGCCACAATATTCCTTTATAGGTATTCTGAGCGTGCGTGATTAAGGAATAAAATGGATAAAATAGCAATGCTATTTTTTATTCGTATGAATGATTTCGACCCTAAAATCTGGCCAGTTTATACCTACAAACTGAAATGTTGCTTAGCGTAAGTGTCTTCCACCCACCTTTTCCAACCCTCCGATGCGCTGAACGCTTATAAGAAGCAGTGCGACTGCGGTCCCTGCAGAGGATGCGTTTCTACTCAGCATTGCAGTCTTTCACACTCGTTATAGGACCGGCTGTCAATCTGACTCGATCGGTGTCAGTTATCGCATTTCCAGATGTAAAAAGATGTTTTTACGATAAGTTCAATATTTGCAGTGCTTAGATTCTACTTAACCTTTCTGCAATTTAGCTTAACGGAGGTTCCACTGAATTCATCCTGGTTTTAAAAATGAGCATCGGTGTATGTAGGTATTCACTTTCATTGACTGCCTATCTGAACGCACCAAAGAACACCCACTTCGCTAAAGCGTGCAGATGCTAATCTGGTGTGAAACCGGTGTCTTACACGTTCTATATTACCTTACGCAACACAATGAATTCATGCATGCAACTCTTAAGAACGTCGTTACGGCGAGTTTTCCCTTTGTGAAAATGTTGAGCACGGACCGGCCTGGACTGGAATGTGGGACTGGTTAGCAGACGCTGTAGCTTCTTACCACCGCGCACATAGAAGATAAATGATCGGCCGCTTTATAGGTTGTTTCGCTGGGTCGGGCTGGGCGGCTGGGGGTTTATTTGGCAGCTGATGGATGTCCGTGTCATACGTAGACACCATATATGAGCGACGCATGGGTCAGCACTGACTTCAGAGCATACAATCAGTAGCCACTGTCGCAATAAGCAAATTGCAGCATGCAAAGTCGAACCAGATTTAGAAATAAACGCCATAAACGTACGCATTTATCTCATAGCACTTTCAAAGCAATTTGGATCCATGAATAGATACATGTGAATTACCATGCGCAAGTTACATTAAGATCGATAGGTATAGGTATTATCTTGTAGTTGACAGGACTTTGGGGTGAGTTTGGCCTTTGAAATATATGATCTATGCTGAAGGATAGCTAATCTGTTGCAAAGGCCCTACCTACAATTTTTGGCAAGATACGATATTATCAAAGGAAAGGAGCTATTTTCCAATGACAAATGCTAACATCAAGATACGCGGATATCATAATTCAGAAGCGTCTGCATTTTCATGTTACTCGGTTGATTTTTTTTTTGAAGACATTTTTGCTGTTTTAGCATGCATTGGCTCGTGGAACCGTGTTTGTCGATTGGTTTTGATGAAATTGCGCGTCGCTGTTGCTGCATCCACCATCCTAACCGACCCGCGCCATTCAGTATTCTAAACGATGACAGAAATGGCCCACCGTGGGGCGACTCCGATGCCGTTTGGCCGTTAATTCAGCGACAAAGCAGGATACAAAGCGCTTATTTCAGACGTCTCACCGACGCAACGGCAAATCTGCAAAATACGTTCGAAAATAGTTTGGGGTTTGCCGGTGATTTCAATATAAATGGTTCGTTGGTGCCATCTGGAGAGAATATGAAGTGTGCATGTGGATGAGAGCCGAGATTCGCCTCCGCTATTACCGTTATTGGCCATGTGTTCCCATCAACTCGACTTAGAGGATTGCTAAGCGCCAGGCTGTGCGTTTCTGAGTCATATATCAGCAAGGACTCGCACCAAACTCACATTGAAGCTCAACCGCGCCTTTAATATCATAAAATATATTGCGAATGCTGG